TAAGTAGCCCTTCGTGTCTCAGATGTCCTACGATTCCATCTCTTATTTTCTTTATTTATACACTTTTCACATCTTTTTCTAATTTGTAAATTAAATGTGTTTATAAATATTCTTATTAATTTTCCTGAAAATATTTTATTTTAATAACATTTTTTTATGCAAAAATCACCGCCTGTCGTCAACAAAGATGTCCCCTTAAGCTTTTAAATAATCTCTTACTTAATTTGCCCTTATATTAAATGTATTATTTAATATTAGAATCTCAATTCCAATGTTTTGTAACAATAATTATGTCGACTTTTAATAAACTTGTTAAACGTTTGTACTTAAATATTTATTTTATGTACCAAAATAATTGAAGTAGTGAAGTTTTTTATACTCTGCGTTTTAAAAATACGGAATTGAATTGAAACATTTATTAAAATTGGAATTTGACTAGTTTAGACAACATGTAATAATTTCACAATAAAGGACACAAATCACAGCACAAAGTTACACATTTTAACACATTTATAGTAATCCATGGAAATTACAGTTTTGTTCTTGATATACAACATTACATATATATTGAATATTAACGTTGTTAACACCATCTTAAACATTTATAAGATTTAAAGAGGAAGTAAATACTTTTGAAATAATCCCATTTTGCGGATTTGAACAGTGTTTCTTTTCAAGTTCTGCAGGAAAAATCTTACAGTTTTAGTTTGATATTTTTATAGTAGAGAACACACATAATACCACAATTAATTAACATATATAAAATAATTATCATCAAGCTCGAATTTGTATCATATGTCATCGTGTCGGATGGTATATTAATGATTCCTGTTAAAACATTGCACAAAAGAAAATATGCTAATCCATTATAATTAATAGCTTCAAAAATAAATGGAACGTAAATGGGGTGTTCAATATTACTCTTTTTGTAGATGTGCACTTGAATTTGTTCAATTAAATAAAAAAAACTTGTCATAGAAATCCCAATAAACATGACCCAAGCACAATAGCCTGAATTAGCCAACCTACGAGAAACGCCAAAGTTTTTATCTAAAAGGAAGGTGGCCCACAAAAATATAAAGGAACAAGCTACTAATTTTAGTCCCAATTTGAATTTCTTTTTCATGTGATATTTACTACGTATCCCTAAAATATCCCCAATGCCAACAGAAATAAAATATAATCCGACATAACCTGGAATGGAAACAATTCCTTCTCGATTTGCTGTCCAAAATGTGTTTCTCTCAGTTTGAGTCATTACAAAATCAAATAAAAACAATTGCAAACCTACTTCATGAACCAACAGAATACAAACAGAAATAATGATGGCATACTGAATGGAAATGATTTTTAAAATTAATGAACACAAAATCTTTGTGACTGCTAATGTAATGAAGAAATTCCAGTGAACACCATATTCAGATACAGGTACATAGTAATCAAGTTCTTTGACTAGTAAAAATCTGGCACATCCCAAAGTAATTAATGGAATTGTACTCTTAATAATGTTGGTTAATGAAGTTGTTTTTGCATGAACTTCAGGAGCAACAATACCATTTGATAGAATGTATAAACCAACACCTACATCCATCAAGGAATACCCAACAGTTTCTGTTTTTGTAAAGCGTCTTGGAAAGACAGGAAAATCAACTGCAAGAATAGCTAATACTGACATTATGTTAATCGTAGATCTTAAGTTAGTTATATAATTCAGCTTTGTACAATCAGTGGTCAATTGTTTAGGAGCAGGCTTTTCATTGGTATCTTGTCGTATCATAAGGGCGCAAATACTTACGCATATCAAAGTAAATATGATTTCATTGATAAGGTTGGCAAAAATTGTAACGTTTAAAATCAATGGGATAACGAGAAACACAAAATCTAATACAAAAAGTTTAGCATAGGAAGATATTACGATAAATGACGATGCAGTAGTCGTTATAAACGTTAGCAACGCACTTGGAAAAATAACACTGTATGTTTCCAGCGCAGTGGTGCCATTGGAGTGGAAAAGGGCATCTCGGGCGTTTTCACCTTCCATTGTCAAAAAATATTTTAATTACGTATGGACAAGCAGAATAAAAAACTAAAAATTTAAAAATTAAGTTTGGTTAGGTTTTTTTTATCATTTAATATTACATACTTGTTACACTGTAAAGCTTATTGAGATCATTTAGATTGGAAGTAATTTGATTTCGGTCTTTATATTGAGCCGAGTGGTGACATTATCGACATTATCAAACAAGACTTTTTTCACTTTTTAATGTTGCTCGACTTCCGTCAGTCGTTTTCAACTTTTTGCTACGGCGCTTGCGCAAAAAATTGGAGATCTTTTCCGCCAAACTTAACCGTTTTAAATGAACTGATTTTATATCTCCATCGTTAGAATTTAAATCTGCTGTTGCTCTATCTTCAGAAAGAGTTAGCGGACTGCCAGACGTTCCACTTTGAAGATCAGTACTGTAATAACTGTGTGCTGTTGCTCCTTTCATATTTCTCTTATGAGGAATTTCGGTATAAGGTTTATCATTAGGATCCCATGAAGACAATGGTACAAGATACTCGTTCCCTTCATATACGTTGTCAAAATTTACTACATTTTTACTGACCAAAGTTACCAAATTTATTAGGGATGGACTTTCTCCTAAATGTGTCCCATCTCCCGGAATCGCTACATCGTGCATAGTATCCCACATATTTTCATTATTCAGTTTATTATTAAGGCCCTCTCGTTTTACTCGAACGACGGTTATTTCTGAGTCTGTTGAGCCTACGTTAGAATAACATGTATCCGTTAAATAATCCCCTTCATTAATGCATTCATTAAATATCCTATCTTCAGTCAGCCCCGATGTTGGGGTAGAATACACAAATCTACATGATGTACTTGTTGATGTCACTGTCTCATCTTGAATGTTGTACTGACCGCTTTTCTTTCTAGCATCAATAACATCTTCAATTTCTCTATCATTCTCGTTAAACATGTCTGTTTTATAATTCTGTATCACTACTAATTTTAATTTTCTACCATAATTTTTAATTCGTATTTGATAACAGTTTTACCAACAAAAATATCATAATAGCCAAAACATATCGTCCAAAAACACTTATAAAAACTAGTAACAGTTTTAGCGCAAAGTTTTTCGATATGCATCCTGTTTTATAAAAGTTTAGTAGACATCAAGAAGATTTAACAAAATGCAATAATTAATTGAGGAAAAAAAATAAGAGCTTTATAGGTAGATAAAAAATGATAAAAGATGTGACGTGTAATAGGTAATAGGTACAAAAGTATATTTTGTCATTTTATTTTCTATAATTTATTTTTCTAGAAAATGAATGCAAAATTGTGGCGGATACTTGTACAATAACTTTATTTTGTATTTTTAAAAAGGCCCACAATTATATTGTAGAAGTTGAAAATCAATCAGATAGCAGGGTGCATGACCGTTTCATTACAGGACTTCCCAAATAAATTATTTATCTTCTTCTCACCAGCCCCACATTTCGAAAATATAATTATTTTTTCTTACTTCAGTTGTTATTCTATTCATTGCATTATTTCTTAAAACAAATAATTAATTTAAAATGTCCAAAATTTCAAAGATCGGGTTTTTGTGATTTCAAATTGTTGCCCTTGAAAGGAAGCATTGATGATATTGAGACTTATTAATGGAAGGAACATAGTTATCGTATTATAGTTGTTTAGTTTATTAATGAGAATATGAGCTTTAGTTTATTTATCAGTTTATTCATATTTATTATTATTTCTTTAATCTTTACATTACGATAAACAGGATATTTTGTTCGCTTAACTAGACCAGACTATATACCCTTTGTATATCTATATTATCTATGCCAAAGACCATTAACCACGCGGATGATCGGATGTATTCGGAGTAATTCGTTTCGAGAAGATAAGGTGCACATAAATAACAAACATAAATACATGTAAATCAATACGCGCATATCATAAATAAAACTATAAATACATACAAATTACAAATTACAAATAGGTACTACCAGACTACGGATCATCTCTGGATCAATCCACAATCAATTCATGAATTGACAAATTGGCATATTGCAGCGGTGGGTTGTATTTTATATTGGTGGAATCGGTATATTGTCAGTTAAACAGTGCAGGCAAGTGGCACATATTTGAGTAGAGACGGGGTGACAGTTTGACTTTTTGGTTCGGTTAATACATTGACAAATTTTGAATTTAAGGTTAAGATTATATATGCATACTTTTAATTTCGATTTTTGGAAAGTTAATTGCTATGTAATTTCAAAGAATAACAAAAATCATTTTTTTTTACAAAAAATTGTGAACTAAATAATGGAATCAAAAGTCTCTTCTGAAACAGCCAACACTGACAATGAAGCTTCATCACTACTAAACGAAGAATTATTTGATAAACAGTCGGAATATACTGCTGATAGATTTAATACAAAATCAGAATGCATGCCTATTGATTTAAATAACTTCAATGTAGAAGACGAAGATACTCGTTCGGAACTAAAATTCGATATAGGTATTTATGAATTACTACAGTGTATTTGTGTTTTTCTATTGTTATTAAAAATTGTTACAGCATCAGAAACGCCTGTCGAAAAAGAGAAAAGAGCAAGAATTGAAAATGCACTTCAAAATGATAAATCCAATTTAAAAGTTTGGCAGAAACTGGCAATTGAAGAGTATGGTTTAGTAAATGGTACAAATGTTAATATTAAAACATGAAACAAATTGATTCTTTTAAATATGTCCATTTGCAGATGATTTGAGACGTAAAATATGGCCACTGTTATTGGGAGTTGATCCTGATCCTTCCGAGCCTGCACCAAGTTTGTCAGATTTATCACATCATGCAGAGTATGATCAGGTAGTCTTAGATGTTAATCGCTCATTGAAACGTTTTCCTCCAGGTAATTTTAATCTGTTCTGATCTGTTGTACTTCAGCATAGCAAATATTATAAAATTTTGGAAAAAAAGAAACAATAGATTATAATGATAATTATCAGTAGGACATCATATTAAAAACTATAATAACCTAATTAATATTGCAAAAAAATAAATATAAAAATATAAATGTGCTCCTTGCATACTTTTATAAATGGTACCATAAATAAGTTCCTGGAATGGTTAACACTTGTAGTTTATCTAAGCAACCATAATAACGTCTCAGCTTCATTACTTTTATTTATTTTATTTCTTTATGAATATCCTCCCTTTTTTTTATGAAATGACGAACTACTGTTGCACTCCTGTACAACATAGTTCTCAATTTTTGTAGCGCTGAAATGCAATAAAACAAAAAATCTGTTTAAAATATACTTATTCCTTAGTTTTTCATGTTTTTTTAATTTTTAGGCATTCCATATAAACAAAGACTTGCATTACAGGATCAGTTAACTGTTTTGATTTTAAGAGTTATTATGAAGTACCCTCACTTGCGGTATTATCAAGTAATTATTCTCATTTGTTACTTTAATTAATTAAACATTGCCTTTTTGAAAATTTTATAGGGTTATCATGACGTTGCAATTACATTTTTATTAGTTGTTGGTGAAACTGTGGCCTTTAGAATAATGGAAGTATTAAGTACAACTCATTTAAGAGAGTGCATGGAACCAACAATGGAAAAAACATCTTACAGACTGAATTTTTTGTATCCACTATTACAGAGGGAAGACAAAAAATTGCACGATTTTTTAGAAAGGTATTGCTTTTTTGAGCTCTATTTTCTTTCAAANAACATACATATTCCGTTAACTCTTCCACATTTTTAGGATCCGCTGTATTATTAGTTGGATATGTTTCGGTTTCACTATTCATTTCTACCTTTTCGTCGACCATTTTTACTAAATTTTATACAAAAAAATTTATTGATGTAACCTTGTCAGTAGAACTCTTATAATTAATTAAGTACTAGCTTAATTTTTAATATTATTTTAATTAAAAATGAACTTCAATTGATTTATTTTGTGATGGAAATGATCAGCACTTGCCATAGACAACACTTCCTTTATCTCCTGAAACTTTGTATATCTATTATCTATGTATATGATGCATGTGACCCTCATAACATCAACAACCAATCGAGCCAACTATCACGCACAAAAGTTTGTTCAATGAAATTTTATTTTTATTTTCGACTGGTACTAACTGGTAGCCAGGTACCATTGGTACGCTGGGGTACCGATAATTGTATGCGTGTTGTAGGTAATATAAAATAAGTTGCTGCGTGTCCGATACAATATTTAATCTATAACTGAATATGCATAGTATTGGTAAATATCGTAATTTTTCAATCATAGTATAATTCCATTTATGTCAGTGATCTTAAACTGCGACGTGATCACTGCTTTCTGTTGCAAATGTTCCCGTTTTCTTGTTCTTGTACTCGCAAAAGTAGCAACGGAAACGCACATAAGGCGTGAAGTCGCTTGCGTGGCATTATTTGAATGGCGTTGCGGAAAAGTCGACTTAATCTACTACTACAGGTTTTTACAGTTAAGGGAGGTTGCGTGAGTTGCATGTAAATTCTAATGGGTTAAACGAAAATCGACTTAATGGTAGAACAAAGGTAGAACTGATTTACTTACAGACGCTTGTGAAGTGGAAGCCCATGTGCGTATCACGCAAAAAATTAAATCGTAACCCGTCACAATTTTGTGCGAACATCAGTAACAATAACAATCTCTTAATATCAGTGAATAAATCACAGTTTGTGAAATATTTCCCATCATCGAATATGCATAGGTGAATTTGCAATAAAGGCATAGATAATAGAATAAAGGCGACAATCACAAATGGCGCGCAATCGATTAGCATTAAGCAAATTATAATAATTGAATAGTTTTCGAATAAATGGATACTGAATTTCTCCCAGCACCCAAACAATTTTCCTTTTTTTTAAATAAAAGTATGCAAACGACTTTGCTTAGTAGAATTTAAATCAGTGGATTATTTATACTGGGTGCCAGTTCACACGACGTGATGTGACGTAAATGGATTTGTAAACGTAATACCATAACACCCAAATAACAATAATAGAATGAAATAGGTGCTGTGGTAATGTGACAAGAAAATTTTAATTTTTCAAGTTTGTAATTTGTGATATGTTTGTGACTCAATAGAAGGCTGTAGCCTTGTGCCGATTTATTTGAAAATCTTTTGTAGTAAAGATAGATAATGTTGTGAAGGTATATTAAGAAAAACCTAATACAATGCCATTCACATTATTGATCTACAATCTTGTTAATTTATATGTTTTTTACGTTTGCACACATTGAAAAAATGCATAAAGTAGTAGTAATTATAGTACTTTTTATCCAAGTTTGCTGTGATAATTATACATTTATTAACTTACCTGATGAGCATATACCATACTACTTTACAAATTACCCCGCAATAATGGAGCAATGCAGAAAAGATGTAGAGTGCCCTTATAAAGACCATTTAGATAAAAGAAAATGCTGGGGTTATGAACACTTTTGCAAATGGGGAGAGCAATATACTGTTCCACATTGTCCTGGTGATCATAAAGGTTGGGTGAAGACCAAATTGGATCAACAAAAAACATTTTTTACACAAGGTGATTTTGGTTATATTAGAGAACAAATAGAGGAGATGAAAGTCCTTTGTGAACCACTTTTTTCTACTGATAGTTCTCTAGAATGTTCTGAACATCTTCGATTTTGTAGAGGTCGAAATATAATGATTAATTTTACCTCTTTGATAAATAGAACAGATAATTTTCGTTATAAAATGGATGTTCTCAAGGAAGGTGAAATTGGTAAGCAATTTCTAAGAAATGTTTGTTTTCAAATACAGAAAATTATAAATATTAATTTGTAGGAGGATATTGCAACTATTATAAAGATAGGCTGCTTGAACAAGCAGATCATATAAGTCCTCTTCAAAGTTGGGGTCCAGAGTTGCGTTACTTCACTCAATTAAATACCAGACCTGTAGAAAACAATAAATGTGATATTGTAATTGAGAAACCTACATTTATTATGAAAATTGATGCTAGTAAATATTTGAATTTTTTATTAAGAGAAAACTTCTTTAATTTTAAATATTTCAGCTGTGAATATGTATCATCATTTTTGTGATTTTTTTAATCTTTATGCATCTCTTCATGTTAATTCAACACATCCTGAAACTTTCTCAATGGATACACATATTCTCATTTGGGAAACCTATTCATATTATTCAGATTTCTCTTCTGCCTGGGAGGCATTTACTCAGAATCCCTTGTGGGACTTGAAAACCTTTAGGGGTGAAGTAGTCTGCTTTAAAAATGTTGTATTTCCATTACTCCCACGAATGATTTTTGGATTGTACTATAATACCCCTATTATATATGGTTGTGAGAAAAGTGGCTTATTTCATTCATTCTCTAAACATTTACTTCACAGGTTGAAAATACCACTGATTAAAAGAAAGAATAAAAAAATTAAGATAACTTTTCTCTCAAGAGATACTAAATACAGAAGGATATTGAATAAAGATAGACTTGTACAAGCTTTAAAAGAGAACGATAATTATGAAGTACAGAAAGTGATTTACAACAAAAACATTCCATTTAAAAAACAGTTAGAAATTACAAGAAATTCAGATATATTTATAGGTATTCATGGAGCAGGATTAACACATTTGTTATTTTTACCTGACTGGGCAGCAGTTTTTGAGATGTATGTTATCCTCTATCTTTTATTTTTATCTAAAACATGAGTAATTTTTAGCTACAATTGTGAAGATGAGAACTGTTATTCGGATTTAGCAAGATTACGTGGTGTTAAATATGTGACCTGGGAAAAACCACACTTAATTAAGGAAGATGAAGTAAATGACTACGATAAATTGCATTTTTTATCTGCTCTATTAATTTTATTTGCAGGTTACTCATCCAGAAAGTGGAGCTGCTCATGCTAAATTTGCAAACTACAGTTTTGATATAAATGAATTTGTAAGACTAGTTAAAGTAGCGGCAGATCACGTCCAAAATAACGATGCATTTAATGCTTTTATTAATCAATATTACAAAAAAGACAATCACAGTAGAAATAAGCACGATGAACTATAAATTCTAAAATATTTTTAAACGGGTGAATTAGTAGTCTTTTTCAAGTGTATATGTAAATATTACATAAACACATTTTTACTAATGTTAGATTCCCCTACCTCTAGGAAAGTGGAATACAAGACAATTGCAACCCTCCAGAGAGTAAAATACCGACGTCCATGAAGCTAGCAGAGCAACATCAGCAGAACAAAAGATGACACAGCTAATAATTAAGTGCTAATTAAACTCCTACATAAAAAAATTATTGCTCCCTTTGTTTAAAAAATATTGCATGTTCTGCTAACTTTAGATGAACTCAGCAGAGCAGAGTGCTGCTAAGCAACCAAAAATAAATCTAATCGAGTGAAAATCAATTGCAAAATTAAGTGCTAATTAAATGCCCTAATAAAAAAAATTATTGCTCCCTTTGTTTAAAAAATATCGCATGTTCTACTAGCTAGATGAGCTCAGAAGATCCAAGTGGTGACAAACAATTTATTTATTTTTTATTGTTTAGCAGTACTCTGCCCTGCTGAGTTATTTTGAAGCTAGCATAGTATGTAATATTTTTTAAACAAAGGAAGCAATTTTTTATTAGGGCATTTAATTGGCACTTAATTATTATTTATGTTGTCTTTTATTCTGGTGATTTTGCTCTGCTAACTTCTTGGACGTAAAATATCAAGACCATTGTAAATTTCCTTGTCCTAATAAATATTCATATATACTAAATTATGTATTAATTAGTGGCTGATAATAATGCATAAATATCCAACTCCTTATACTGAGCCAATCTTTGCATTTCGCGAAACTAGATCATCCCTCTTCATTGATCATCATCCTGTTTCTGCTTCTCATATATCTTTAAGTAGCCCTTCGTGTCTCAGATGTCCTACGATTCCATCTCTTATTTTCTTTATTTATACACTTTTCACATCTTTTTCTAATTTGTAAATTAAATGTGTTTATAAATATTCTTATTAATTTTCCTGAAAATATTTTATTTTAATAACATTTTTTTATGCAAAAATCACCGCCTGTCGTCAACAAAGATGTCCCCTTAAGCTTTTAAATAATCTCTTACTTAATTTGCCCTTATATTAAATGTATTATTTAATATTAGAATCTCAATTCCAATGTTTTGTAACAATAATTATGTCGACTTTTAATAAACTTGTTAAACGTTTGTACTTAAATATTTATTTTATGTACCAAAATAATTGAAGTAGTGAAGTTTTTTATACTCTGCGTTTTAAAAATACGGAATTGAATTGAAACATTTATTAAAATTGGAATTTGACTAGTTTAGACAACATGTAATAATTTCACAATAAAGGACACAAATCACAGCACAAAGTTACACATTTTAACACATTTATAGTAATCCATGGAAATTACAGTTTTGTTCTTGATATACAACATTACATATATATTGAATATTAACGTTGTTAACACCATCTTAAACATTTATAAGATTTAAAGAGGAAGTAAATACTTTTGAAATAATCCCATTTTGCGGATTTGAACAGTGTTTCTTTTCAAGTTCTGCAGGAAAAATCTTACAGTTTTAGTTTGATATTTTTATAGTAGAGAACACACATAATACCACAATTAATTAACATATATAAAATAATTATCATCAAGCTCGAATTTGTATCATATGTCATCGTGTCGGATGGTATATTAATGATTCCTGTTAAAACATTGCACAAAAGAAAATATGCTAATCCATTATAATTAATAGCTTCAAAAATAAATGGAACGTAAATGGGGTGTTCAATATTACTCTTTTTGTAGATGTGCACTTGAATTTGTTCAATTAAATAAAAAAAACTTGTCATAGAAATCCCAATAAACATGACCCAAGCACAATAGCCTGAATTAGCCAACCTACGAGAAACGCCAAAGTTTTTATCTAAAAGGAAGGTGGCCCACAAAAATATAAAGGAACAAGCTACTAATTTTAGTCCCAATTTGAATTTCTTTTTCATGTGATATTTACTACGTATCCCTAAAATATCCCCAATGCCAACAGAAATAAAATATAATCCGACATAACCTGGAATGGAAACAATTCCTTCTCGATTTGCTGTCCAAAATGTGTTTCTCTCAGTTTGAGTCATTACAAAATCAAATAAAAACAATTGCAAACCTACTTCATGAACCAACAGAATACAAACAGAAATAATGATGGCATACTGAATGGAAATGATTTTTAAAATTAATGAACACAAAATCTTTGTGACTGCTAATGTAATGAAGAAATTCCAGTGAACACCATATTCAGATACAGGTACATAGTAATCAAGTTCTTTGACTAGTAAAAATCTGGCACATCCCAAAGTAATTAATGGAATTGTACTCTTAATAATGTTGGTTAATGAAGTTGTTTTTGCATGAACTTCAGGAGCAACAATACCATTTGATAGAATGTATAAACCAACACCTACATCCATCAAGGAATACCCAACAGTTTCTGTTTTTGTAAAGCGTCTTGGAAAGACAGGAAAATCAACTGCAAGAATAGCTAATACTGACATTATGTTAATCGTAGATCTTAAGTTAGTTATATAATTCAGCTTTGTACAATCAGTGGTCAATTGTTTAGGAGCAGGCTTTTCATTGGTATCTTGTCGTATCATAAGGGCGCAAATACTTACGCATATCAAAGTAAATATGATTTCATTGATAAGGTTGGCAAAAATTGTAACGTTTAAAATCAATGGGATAACGAGAAACACAAAATCTAATACAAAAAGTTTAGCATAGGAAGATATTACGATAAATGACGATGCAGTAGTCGTTATAAACGTTAGCAACGCACTTGGAAAAATAACACTGTATGTTTCCAGCGCAGTGGTGCCATTGGAGTGGAAAAGGGCATCTCGGGCGTTTTCACCTTCCATTGTCAAAAAATATTTTAATTACGTATGGACAAGCAGAATAAAAAACTAAAAATTTAAAAATTAAGTTTGGTTAGGTTTTTTTTATCATTTAATATTACATACTTGTTACACTGTAAAGCTTATTGAGATCATTTAGATTGGAAGTAATTTGATTTCGGTCTTTATATTGAGCCGAGTGGTGACATTATCGACATTATCAAACAAGACTTTTTTCACTTTTTAATGTTGCTCGACTTCCGTCAGTCGTTTTCAACTTTTTGCTACGGCGCTTGCGCAAAAAATTGGAGATCTTTTCCGCCAAACTTAACCGTTTTAAATGAACTGATTTTATATCTCCATCGTTAGAATTTAAATCTGCTGTTGCTCTATCTTCAGAAAGAGTTAGCGGACTGCCAGACGTTCCACTTTGAAGATCAGTACTGTAATAACTGTGTGCTGTTGCTCCTTTCATATTTCTCTTATGAGGAATTTCGGTATAAGGTTTATCATTAGGATCCCATGAAGACAATGGTACAAGATACTCGTTCCCTTCATATACGTTGTCAAAATTTACTACATTTTTACTGACCAAAGTTACCAAATTTATTAGGGATGGACTTTCTCCTAAATGTGTCCCATCTCCCGGAATCGCTACATCGTGCATAGTATCCCACATATTTTCATTATTCAGTTTATTATTAAGGCCCTCTCGTTTTACTCGAACGACGGTTATTTCTGAGTCTGTTGAGCCTACGTTAGAATAACATGTATCCGTTAAATAATCCCCTTCATTAATGCATTCATTAAATATCCTATCTTCAGTCAGCCCCGATGTTGGGGTAGAATACACAAATCTACATGATGTACTTGTTGATGTCACTGTCTCATCTTGAATGTTGTACTGACCGCTTTTCTTTCTAGCATCAATAACATCTTCAATTTCTCTATCATTCTCGTTAAACATGTCTGTTTTATAATTCTGTATCACTACTAATTTTAATTTTCTACCATAATTTTTAATTCGTATTTGATAACAGTTTTACCAACAAAAATATCATAATAGCCAAAACATATCGTCCAAAAACACTTATAAAAACTAGTAACAGTTTTAGCGCAAAGTTTTTCGATATGCATCCTGTTTTATAAAAGTTTAGTAG